CGACGCACATTTCCAAACACTCTTCTACAACAATTGACCCAGCATTAACAAACGATGCTGAAAAAATCATCAAGTTGGGTGTGCTACAGTGCTCGATTAGCGATCATTCGCTGATAGTTTTGACAAGGCGAGCGAAAAAACTACGAAGCCCTCAAGTGAAAAATTTGTAGCTGATTTGCATGAGGCCTCCTGGGAGAAAGTTGACGTCAGTCTGACTGTTGACGAAGCATGAAATGCTTTTGCTGAAACACTTATAATGCAACAGCTGAAAAACACGCACCTCTTTCCACAAAGAGAGTGCGTGCTGAAAGTCTACCATGGCTAACGAGTGAGATAAGGGAATTGATGCGAAAACGCGATTTCCATCATAAACGGGCGCTGAAGCAAAAGACTACTGAAGAATGGGTTAAATACAGAGCTGCGAAATACAACAACACGCCTCATAAGAAATGCTGAACAAGATTATTATTCCAATTTGATTGAAGAAAATAAGGACTCGTCCAAATCGTGGAAAACGTTAAAATCCATCATTGCTACCAAACCTAAGATGTCAACCACTACATCACTTCAGTCTCACAGCGGTGTTATCCAAGAACCTAAGAAGATCTCGCAGAGCTTTGCTAAGTAATTTTCTACCGCAATTGCAAAACTGAGGCTGCGTATGACTTGGGTATTATCGGCCCCCAGACCACCTGCAAATCGATCCTCGTCCAACTTCAAACTTTCCCAAGTTAGCGAATCCTTTGTAGCTAAAGAGCTTAAGAAACTGAAAAGCAACAAATCTACTGGATTACAAAATATCCAAGCACGGCTTCTTAAGGATGGTGCCATCGCACTTGCCAAACTCCTAGCAATAATTATAAATAGATCGATAAAAGAGAGGTCCATTCCCGCAAGCTGGCAGTATGCCATCGTAACTCCAGTGTTCAAGTCCGGTTCAAAATCTGATACTTCCAATATTATCGCCCAATCTCAGTTCTGCCAGTCTTTGCAAAGATTCAAGAAAAGGCAGTTCATGAAATGGTGTATAATTTCCTACTAAAACACAAGCTCCTATCTTCTTACCAATCCGGCTTCCGTCCACTACATTCTACTGCTACTAGCCTAATCGATATTACGAACACTATTCTGCACAATAGTGATAAAGGAAAACTTACAGGCCTGGCATTTCTGGATCGATCTAAGGCTTTTGATACCCTTGACCACGAATTACTACTAACGAAATTGTCAGACCTCGGCCTAAGTAGGTCTTCAGTGAATTGGTTCAAAGCGTGTCTTACAAAGAGAACCCAGAGTGTTAACATCAATGGCATTCAATCTAACGCTGAACCCATATTATATGGTGTGCCCCAGGGGTCTGTCTTGGGACCCCTATTGTTTATAATGTACATTAACGATCTACCATCAGTAACAAAGTTCTGTAATGCTGATGACACTCTGTTGTCTTTTCAAAGCAGTTCTGTGCAAGCTATTCAGGCTGCTCTATCACAAGACCTAGATCACGTCGTCGGATCGTTGAGCCAAAACTATCTCATTCTAAATCACTCGAAGACCAAAGTTATGGTTATGAGAACCCATCAAAAACTGAGCTCAGCCCAGTCATTCACAGTCAGTGTTAATGACAAAGATCTTGAAAGGGTATACAAATTTAAATATCTGGGCGTGATTCTGGATCCATGCCAAACATGGTCTGAACACATTGAATATATCGGAAACAAAATCCCGTCCCGCCTTGAAATGTTATGTAGAGCCCGAAAAGTCATCCCAAAAGAAGCCTGCATTACTCTGTTTAATGCTATGATTTTACCATTATTCGATTACTGCTGCTGTGTGTGGGATGGTTGCAGTAAAGGAAACAAGAACTGCCTTGACAATCTCCTCAAGCGAGCTGCGGAAATTATTGCGGGTTGCAAGGCCACCAATAATGATACACAGCAGATATTGAAGTGGCCATCCCTACAATCCCGCAGAGAATATCACAAGTGTACACAGATCTATAACTGTATCAATGGCTTGGCTCCAGCTTATCTACTTGACGACTTACACTCCTCGGAGCAGACCCCTAATTATAACACTAGAAATAAAGACCTTATCCGCCTACCTTTTGCCAAAACAACTAAATATCAAACATCCTTTAAGTACAATGCCGCCAAATCCTGGAACACTCTTCCTCGTAACCTACGCCATTATCAGTCTCTCACTAGTTTTAAGCTAAACGTCAAGAAACATCTAAATTATCTTAATTAGTTTTTATTTTTTTTGTACTACTTCGAATGATTTTTACAGTTTATTATTTATTTATAATTTAATATCTCTTCATAATTTTTGTATAAATCTCCAATTATATTAGCTAATTTAGTAATTATTCATATTATTTTGTACAGATCTCCACTTAAACCAGCTATGCTGAACTGGAATTTCTGTATAAATAATGTATATAAATAAATAAATAAATAAATAAATGGTCACATGTACACAACAGGATGGCGTGATTTTTTGTCTTTCTTCACGATTTTCAAAAAATTGTAAACAATTCCAAATTCATTTTCCCAAAATAAACTTTACATATTCTGAAAGATCATCAACTCTAGTATTATCATTCGTAACCTTACGAAATTCTGAGCAAAGGTACATGCTAAAAATTATCGTCGTTTTTCGCCTACCGTTTTACGCAACACGGGAGAGCCATAACCTTTTGACTTCTCTTGAATACTGGAATTAATCTAATTTTTAAGAAACACGGTGTTAAGACTACGAAAAGTTGTACAACAACTTGGAAGTGTGATAGCTTTTTCTAGCGCAGTTTTTCTGATACACGAGTTAAGTGAATCATGACCTATTTTAAACCTGCTCGGTGTCGCCATATCGACCCGGGACTGAAAACGAAACGTTTTCGTTTTTTCGGAAGCAAATAATTTTTTTAAGCAAAAAACTGCACAGTGATTGGATACTTTCTAAAGGCTACTTGTATGCAAAAGAACAACGAATTTTAGGTTTTTAACTTTGCCATGCAATGTTTGATAATTGCACGGATTTGCTCTTAATGTTGAAAAAAAATTTGATGTGCAAATAGGGTTTGGAGGCAATGGGGGCACCCATGGCGCCCCTACCCCCATTACCAAGGTTCTGCCAAAACATTCATGATTGGGCAACAACAGTTTGTTTCCCTTAGGTAAGCATAGTGACCTGAGGAAATAACACACCTTCTCTCTTTTTTACTGAGGTAAATAAAGGTCAACTATCAACGTTGTTGCCTACAAAGTTTCAGAATTCTTCCCTGTTTTTTTGTTGGGGGGGGGGGAGGCAAAGGCATCCTCGGAGACCCAGGGGCTGAGTCGATTTCAAGTCAGGGCATGAAGAGCCCCTGGGGACATTGTCTTACAAGACTAGTTCCAAACGGTCGCAGTCGTTCTGCCATCTGATTGGTGCCAGAAAATCTTTGTGTTTTTCTGCCCAATCAGAGTGAAGTGTGCTTTAGAGTCCTTTCGTGTGTTTTAACACGGACATATACTAGTAGCTCAGTTGCTCGCTATGTTTGTTTGGACCGTGCGACGGAGATTTGCTTGAGGTGAAAAGTTTCAGTCTCAGCACACAATGTAAGAGAAATCGATCAGATTGTCCGCGAAAATCTTACCGGAAATTATACTGAATACTT